ATGCAACCTTAGTTTAAGAGTGGTTGAAATGTTAGCAGTCAGGAAAGAAAATCAATAACTAAAACCTAATTAAGTTCTTTTTGGTCACCTCCCATTGCTTTGCTACGTCAGTGGTGTTGGGAACGGTTTAACCTTAATATATGGATTTAGTGTTGGGCTAATAAGCACTTTTACATCCATAATCTCATGTATCATGTTAGGTGGGTATTATTATCTATGTTTTATGGCTGACAAAGTCAGAGAGGTAGGTGACTTACCTAAAGTTCTGTGGACGATTATGGCAGAGATGAGACTTGAACCCAGGTTTTCTAATTCCACAGTTGGTGATCTCTGTACCAACTGAGTAGATGAATCTGTTATAGAAATCTTTCTATAAATTATTTTAAGTGAGTTCCATGTTTCATTATTAAGTGAACCCATTCACTTACAAAAAGGATCTATTCCAGTAGAATAAAAAACACATATGATGTCTGATAATAAAATCACATGTAAGACTATAGCATGTTTTTATCATCACATACATTAAGGAAAATAACTTTCTGATAAACCAGTAATAAATAGTGTTAAATACCAAAATTAAGTCTGAAAGCATGGATATTAATAAGGAAGGACATAGTCAAAATACATTAAAATAACACTCTCTAAAAGTGAAACCAGGGCTTCCCTGGTGGCGCAGTGGTTAAGAATCTGCCTGCCAGCACAGGGGACATGGGTTCGAGCCCTGGTCCGGGAAGATCCCACGTGCCGCGGAGCAACGAAGCCTGTCTGCCTCAACTACTGAGCCTGTGCACTAGAGCCCACAAGCCACAACTACTGAGCCCACGTGCTACAACTACTGAAGCCCGCTCGCCTGGAGCCCATGCTCCGCAACAAGAGAAGCCACCGCAATTAGAAGCCCATGCACCGCAACAACAACTACTGAAGCCCACGCACCTAGAGCCCGTGCTCCGCAACAAGAGAAGCCACCGCAATGAGAAGCCCGCGCACCGCAACGAAGAGGAGCCCCCGCTCGCCACAACTAGAGAAAGCCCGCGTGCAGCAACCAAGACCCAACGCAGCCAAAAATAAATAAATAAAATAAATAAATTTATTTTAAAAATAAATAAAAGTGAAACCATGCAGAAGTGACTTGGTTTGTGAATTCCTTAATTTAGGACTTTTGTTAAGCGAGGGTAGCGATACTTGAAGAGGAATTTAGCCTGCAAACAGGCTATCAGAACTGTTCAGGTTATGATGAGCTGCCTTGTTTCACCCTGAAATGAGGAAACAGACCAGTAACTCTAGTAGGAAGTCATTCAGCCGAGAAGGAAGGAAGACAAAGCGTTAGCAGTAATCACAGACTGGTAAGCGCCTGCTGCCTTCCTGCCCCGCCTCATTCCTCCTCGGGCCATCCTCCACCCAGCCTGAGCAGGGAGAGTGACAGGAAACACCAGGGAGGCCCTGCTCTGTGCTGGCAGGAAGGCTCAGGCCACCATGACCGAATCTGTAATTTCTACTTCTGAATAAGTGGCCCTTTTCCCCCGTTAATTTCCTCTTTTGTAATGAGTGAGTTTTAAAAATCTTTTTTTTTTTTTTTTTTTT